TTATTATAAGAGTTATTTTGTGAATTTGTTAAATATAACTAGAATTCCATATCTCAAAGATGCAAAAGGTGAGGATTAATTTGTGAAGTCGTGCATCAAATAGGAAAATGGAGGTTCTAATACAAATCAACATATTTAAAAAAAACTTTCAAGAGAATTTCTTCCATTTCTTTTAGAGAAGCCTACAAAATTATTTTCATACGTATCATCCACTAAGAAAATGAACCACAAATGTCTTCATAAAATTTGTCTAGAGAAAGTGGTATAGAGTTGCAACCAACAAATTTAAGATTTGAAAAAGTGAGGAAGGAAATATAGAAAGTGTTAATTTATAGTTTTTTTTACATAAAATTTGGATAAATTTGTCATTTTTATTTACCACCATAAGTATTTATGTTCAAAAAGGAAATAACAGTTATGAAATAGAGAATACTATCTGCACAAAATGGTTTCTCTAAGACTCAAATTTTATTTATACCAACCTTATAATATTCATGTATTGTATGAGATTTAAATGCCTATACAGCAAGTACTTTCATCAACATCAAGTCTTTTGATCTTCTACAATTATTTATTATGGTCTTTTTAATGTTCAATATCAAATTATGCTTCTAACATTTGCTAAAGTTTTATTGACAAATTCCATATCACTATTCCCAAATTTCCTTGACATCTTTCGAGGGAATTTATGAAAAATTTTACATTTTTGGTTGTACAAATTTTTAATGACATTAAAATTTCAAACCTTAAATGGAGCACCAATGAAGATATGAGAAAAACCTTACGCATAATAGGTTTCTTCATCTACAACAATATCGCAACTTTCACATGTAGTGTTGTTACCGTACTTGTGTACTTTGTTGGAATACAAAAAAAACAAGAACACTGATTTTTATTTAAAATTGAACCATAAAAGATAAAAAAAAGATCTAATGTACCACCAAAAACACATTTGTAGTTTTGAGTTGCATACCCATTTCCAAAGTATTCTTTCCCCCATCTCCTTGATTAACTTAGAAAGGACAGAAAATAATTTCATTTAAATTATGTATATTAGAACATTTCACAGTAAATCATGACTTACTAATATGGTATAAAATAGAGCAATAGCATTTTGACTTAAGAAAGGGATGTGTAAAGGCTAATCAACTTATTTTTAAGAAAGTTTAAGTAACTATTTCATTAAATCAAGAAGATAGCCCCTATTCAACAACTTTTGAAAAATAACTTATGGTGGTGCAAGGATAAGCTTAATAAAATGCTATTGTAAGGGATTAACTATTCATTTCATTTATTATTTCATTTACCCGTCGTTAAAATCTTGAAGACTCTTGCCATGAACAAAATTATTCATAGATATAAATTTGAACCTCAGATAGTTATTTAGAGATTTTAGTTACATTTCTTTTAGATGAAAAAAAAATCATAACTAGTTAACTTCTATTATTTGTGACAGTTCTCTCACAAAGTTTGTAGTAATCAAATTATTTTATTAGTATAAAAATAGAATAATCATGCCCTGCTATCAATATCAGAAAAGATAAATCAATATCTTTGATATATAGACTAAGGAATAATATAAGCAAAAATGTTAATAATAAAAAAATGATAACGAGCCATGTAATTTAAGAGATGTAAATTGCATAGGCTGTTATGCTTCATAAAAAAATTAAACTAAAATGAAGTCAATCCAACGAAGCCCTATCCCAACTTTACAGCATCAACTAAATAAATTCTGTTATCAAGGGCCATAATCATAAAAATAACCATGTTAAACAGTATTTTGCTAAGCGAATGTTCATATGCATGATGAGAAAACAATGAAAATGAAAATTACAAGTTTGAACAATGTTAAATCATCTTGTATAATCTGATTGTAATGCATTTTAGTGAATAAAAAAGGATAACTAACGTTTGTTCATAAGCTTGGCAAGTTAAACAAAGAAAATGACATGGAATATGACCTTTGATTGCTAAGTGAAATCATAGAGTGTCGTATAAAGAGGGGAATAAATAGATCTTATTCTAAAATTATGATCTCCTTTGGTGGCATATAAAAATAAATAATCATATATAGTCTATAATATGAAAACATCGAATTTTGAATAAAAAGGAATATACATACATTGACCAGCTGATGATACATGCCAACTTTCCTCTTGACCTGGACCCATGCCTGTAAAAAATTTATCTTCCCATTTGTCTCCTCATTTTGTTCTTAGTTCAATCTCCACCCATTTATCCATCCTGAGAGTTTAAGGGGAGATTTTTGTTGGCTTCCGCTAAATCTATTTCATTCAGTATTTTATTAATTTTGCTTTTACAAAAAATGATGACTGAGATCCACCATCATTATTTTTCTCAAGATGTGAACATCAGTCCTTAGTGAAACAATAGTAGGTAAAAAGTTTTTGAGAGTTATTTGCGTTTCAAAAAGACTACCAGATGAAAACCATCAACTCAATTAAAAATTCTTGTAGTGATTTAGTAATTGACATGGACTTGGTAGTGATTTCTCTTTTCACAAGTTATAGTGGGAATCGACTCATTAAAATTTGTGAGGGTTTTGATTGGTCAATGTTGTTATAGTATCATATTTTTCTAGCATGCTAAATTTTAAATGACATAAAAATGAGAATTTTCGTCAATTGTTATGAAATTACAAACTCAAATTATAAAAAAGAATTACTAACTCATGTGGCTTTAAAATTTTTCATTGCAAAATCCTTTAAAAAATAGAAACTAAAGAATTACATGTTCAAAGAATTATAGACTCAACTTAAGAACTATAGAAGAATTTCATAGTTAAGGAATTATAAACTTAAGAATTACTGAATAATCAAAGAATGTGAAAAAGAAAAGAAAGAAAATGTAAAATAAAATTTATTTCACATCTTACATATCTTCATAATTTGTTTTAGAACGTGTACTATTTTTGCAACTCTTTGATCAACAATTTGAATTTTTTTTTTAAAATTTGAATACTCATGAACATGAATGTTTAACCTCTTATTTGCCTTTATCAATTTTTGTAGAGAAGAATTTGATTGCTATACTTTCATCCCATCTATTTTGTTTGTGGTTGATTAAGGATTAAATTATTGATCCAAAAGTAATTTTGTAGTGGATGTAAACTTGCCTTTAGTTTTTATTGCTTATGTTTGATCTCTATTAAACGAAAAGCTTGAAAATGATACACAATTTAATGAAATAAATTGATGATGGTAAATGAAATATAAATGATTTAGTAATAAAATAAATCTTTTTATTATATATTTCATGGGTTCAATTAAGGTTCAAAATTTTATTATCTACCAGGGCTTATCAAGTGTACCTATTGTAACATTGCCTAGTAGTGCCTTTGAAAAAAATAATAAAATAGAAAAGGAAGAAGGAATTCTATAATTGATGATTGGATTGTCAAAAATGCAGACATCCAAGAAGTAACTCGTAATAAAGAATTGACATCACAAAGAATGAGTTTGAAACATTTGAAGTTGGATTACAAGAGAAAGATGGATCGGTAAAGAAGATATAAAAGGTGTTTTAATGAAGAAAGAGTTACAATGAAGGAAAAAGCATATACCTTAAGGTGAGGTAGAAAAAAAAGCTTGGCTTCCGTAGCCTCAACCCTTAGTGGCAAAGCTTAGCTGTTGACTTGCATGGTGTGCTCTTTAAACCTTGAGCCTTGTGTTGTTTAAGGCATGAGCTTCAAATTTTGTCTTGTCAAATCATGAATTTCAATGTTTAAGTAGCTTGTTGTCATTAAAATCAATTAGCAATTTAAAAGCTGATGATGAGAAAAAAATTCTCACGCTTCACCATTAGATTGAGATAACCTTTTCAACTTTAACTAGAGAAGAAGAGTTTAGAGTTCATATTTTAAAGTTCTAGACGATGAACAACATATAATCTGATAGTGAGATTGAGACAGCTTTCTCAAGTTGGATCGACAAAGAAAAATGATCAAACTTCAAAAAGTAAAAACCAAAGAACAATAGGTGATCCAATCTCAATCGTACTATTGTTTTTTTTTTTTGTTTTTAAACAAAACCATAAATTATTCACTCAAAGGTACCATATTAAACGAAAACAATGGATCATTTTTTCATAAAACTGGTTATAGTTGAATCTCTTCCTTCACATATAAACAATTGATGTTTCATTTTTACAAACAAATGTTTGATTTGTTTTTGCTTATATAAATTATGCAATAAAAATAAATGTTGAATTTGTGTATTTGAGAGGAACCCTATTAAATGTAAGTAAGGAATTTCAAGACAAATTTTTTCTTAGACTCTTTGCTCAATAGCTATTAGTCTAAGCATTCAGAACTCAAGAACAAATTATCCTTTTTTATACCAAAATTTTAGGGATTTTTAAAACTTAAATAGGCTTATGATTCACAACAAGAAATTATACTTTTTTATTTTCTTTATACAAACTATTCTATTTTCCTTATAAATGCTATTAATAGATATTTTTGGGGAGCTCACACCCCAAAACTTATGTTGATCATCTCAATGGAGAAAACGCTATGCTATAACCGAAAGAACATCAAATTATATTATCTTTGAAAGAGGCCTTACTTGGTTTATTTTTATTTGCTATTAAAAATTCTTGTTAGAATTTTATATGTGAAAAATTTATGAACGACTAATAGGGAAAGAAATCCATTCCATAAGTAAGACAAACTTTCTAGTTTATGATCTTCATACTTGAAAATTTTGAGTTGATATTGGACGAGATTCGCGAGAGTACTAGGAGATCCCGAATCTGTATATTTTCTGTACAGTTAGGAAGCTTTGTGTTTTATAAGTTTTGTTTTTAGGACGATATTCTTTTTGGATTAGGAAGTCTTTTGGAGATAGAAGTTGCATTGCATTTAGGACGTAGGGTTTTTAGAAAGTTTTGGGAGCAAGAAACTCCATCGAGTTTGTATATATATATATATCATAAGATAACAATGGAAAGGAACAACCTTTGGCTTACGAAATTTTTCATGGTATCAGAGCCACCTTCTGGCAAGTCAAATCCAGCAACCCTTTGATATGAAGGTAGTTGGCAGCCATTATAAGATGGTAAAGCTCATCGACACTGACGTTGATGTACTCTCAGTCCCAGTTCCTGATTTCTTCGTGAGCCTCATTAGGATTGTCCATCTTCTTCTTGGAATCAAACTTGACGTGTTTCCTGCAATAATCAATCACCTTGGGTAAGATATTACTGCTGACGTTGAGCAACGGAATCACAGACGACCATTTGCTTGAACATCTCAGACGAGTCTTGTTGATCGGTCACCATGGCTGCCAACAACGACAAGAATGGTGAGAGCTCGAGTAAGTCTGTTGGACCGTCTTCTCCTTTCTATTTGCATCCATCAGATAATCCTAGAATTATTATTAGTCCGATGGTCTTGAGAGGAGAGAGCTACGACGAATGGGCAAAGGCGATGAGAACTGCTTGTCATGCCAAAAACAAAATTGGTTTTATCGAAGGCAAGGTCACAAAGCCGGAGAACGATGCTCCAGAGATCGATCTTTGGTGGATTGTGAACTCGATGTTGGTGGCTTGGGTTTTCAATACTGTCGATCCATCACTGCGTTCAACTATCACGTATATGGAGACGGTCAAGGAGCTTTGGGATGATTTGAAGGAACAATTCTCGATCGGCAACGGACCCCGGATTTATCAGATTAAATCCGAGCTTGCTAACTGCAAGCAACATGGACAGACAGTGATTCATATTATGGAAAATTGAAGGCAATGTGGGACGAATTAGGAAGCTACTCTAAGGTACCCGTGTGTACATGCGGGTGCAGGTGTGGAGCGGCAGCCAAATTTGGAACTGTGCGTTCCAACATATTGAGTATGGAGCCAATTCCAAATATGAACAAAGTTTACTCAATGATCATACAAGAAGATCGACATCGATCATTGGCACGAGGTAAGGAGGAATGGGCAGATGCGGTTGGTCAAACACTCAAAAATTTTTGTGCAATGGTTGAATGACAATTTAATAAGAATATTAAGGTGGTGAGAAGTGATAATGAAACAAAGTTTAAATCCTTGAAATCATATTTTGACGAGCAAGGAATTTTATTTCAAACTTCCTGTGTTGGAACACCACAACAAAATGGTCGTGTGAAGAGAAAGCATCGTCATATTTTGAATGTGATCAGAGCACTCAGGTTTCAAGCTCATCTTCTGATCAATTTCTGGGGTGAGTGTGTTTTGACCGCAGGGTACTTGATTAACCAGGCACCTTTGATCCTTCTTGGTGGTAAAACACCTTACGAGATGCTATTTGGACAAAGTCCTTCTTATAAACATCTCAGAGTTTTTGGTTGCTTGTGTTTTTCACATAGTCGGGACCGTGACAAATTTGTCGCTAGGAGTAGGAAATGTGTCTTTGTTGGGTACCATTTTGGGAAAAAGGGGTGGAAATTATACGATATTGAGTTTGGTGATTACTTCGTCTCACGAGACGTGGTGTTTAGTGATGCCGAGTTTCCCTTTGCCACTCCAGAACATCAACCCTCAGTAACCAGTCCTCCCATAGCCAAGGAAAATGTTGGGTTGCCTTGGACTGTCCAACCACCGAACTCTGTGACCACTCCTCCTGACATGGTATTTGATTCACCTCATATAGAAGTCAGGGGAGCAACACGATCGATGAAGAAGGACATCAGAACACGAGTAATGATGAGGAGGCAGGTCCTCTTGATGAGACAAGGAGCCATACAAATTGCAGGAATAATGAAACTTTAGCTGCTCCTCAGCCTACCACAGAGTTATTAGGTCGCGGACATCGAGAAAAGTGGACCCCCAGCTATTTACAGGACTTTGTCACACACTCTGCTCATCGTTTAGACCCCTCCATTGTTTCTCCTGCATCATCTCAGTCCTCAGGTACTCCTTATCCCATAACTCATTATGTGACGTATGATAATTTTTCTGTGAAACATAGACATTTCTTGGCAGCTGTTACTGCAGGCTGAGAACCTACTCGTTTATCTGAGGCAATGGATGATGCTCGGTGGAGCGAGGCTATGCGCCGAGAGATACAGGCTTTGGAAGACAATGAGACATGGACCTTGGAAGACCTCCCACCTGGAAAAAAGGCAGTCGGGTGTAAATGGGTCTACAAAATCAAGTACAACTCTGATGGATCCATTGAAAGATTTAAAACACGGTTGGTAGTCTTGGGCAACACTCAAGTTGAAGGTCTTGATTACAACGAAACCTTTGCCCCTGTGGCTAAAATGGTTACAGTTCGAACCTTCTTAGCAGTTGCTCCGGCCCAACATTGGGAATTGCATAAGATGGATGTCCACAATGCTTTTCTGCACAGTGATCTCCATGAGGTCTATATGAAACCTCCTCTAGGTTTTTCGGCCTCCGGGACTGGAAAGGTATGCAAACTCCATAAATCTTTGTATGGTCTACGACAGGCCCGCCGGAATTGGTTCTCTAAATTAGGTGCTTCCTTGAAAACTTTTGGGTTTGATCAGTCCTATTTCGATTATTCCTTATTTACATATTGCAAGAATGGGCTTGTCTTGCACGTCCTGGTTTATATTGATGACTTAATCATTGGTGGGAATAACCCAGAGTTCATACACAAATTTAAACAGTATATGAACTGGTGTATTCACATGAAGGACTTGGGTGTTCTTAAATATTTTTTGGGCATCGGAGTGACTCGCGGATCATCGAGGATATTTATTTTCCAAAGAAAATATGTGCTTGATATTATTACAGAAACTGGCTTATTGGGGTCCAAACTTGCCCACTTTCCTATTGCTCAGAATCATAAACTTGCCGTTGCTGACGGAGTACTCCTGGATGACCTTGAACGATATCGACGTCTTGTGGGCTGTTTGATTTATTTAACCATTACACGGCCGGAGCTCAGTTATTGCATCCATGTCCTGGCTCAATTTATGCAGTGTCCTCGTGTTGAACATTGGGATGTGACATTACGTGTGGTTCGTTATCTAAAAGGACATCCTGGTCAAGGGATATTTTTGCGTTGTGATAGTAATATGCAATTGTATGCCTATTGTGATTCTAATTGGGCGAGTTGTCCTCTAACTCGTCGCTCTCTTTCTGGGTATTTTGTCATGTTAGGACATTCCCCCATCTCCTGGAAGATTAGGAAACAACATACTGTCTCTCGTTCCTCTACCGAGGCTGAATACCGGTCAATGGCTACTGTCAATTGTGAGTTGAAGTGGCTAAAAGGTCTACTATCGTCTTTGGGTATATCTCATCCTCAACTTATATGCTTGTTTTGTGACAATCAAGCTGCTCTACACATTGCTGCGAACCCTATCTTCCATGAGCGAACCAAACATATTGAAGTTGATTGTCATTTCATTCGCAATGAGCTCCATGCCGGCACCATTGCACCTTCCTATGTACGTACCGGTGAATAACTTTCTGACATTTTCACAAAGGCTCTCAGACAAAAACAGTTTGATTTTTTCCTTCCCAAGTTGGGCATTCGCAATCCTCATGCACCACCTTGAGGGGGAGTATTGGACGAGATTCGCAAGAGTCCTAGGAGATCCCGGATCTGTATATTTTCTATACAATTAGGAAGCTTTGTGTTTTAGAAGTTTTGTTTTTAGCAATCTTGTTTTTAAGACAATATTCTTTTTGGATTAAGAAGTCTTTTGGAGATAGAAGTTGCATTGCATTTAGGACGTCGGGTTGTTAGAACGTTTTGGAGCAAGAAACTCCATCGAGTTTGTATATATATCATAAGATAACAATGGAAAGGAACAACCTTTGGCGTCCGAAATTTTTCAGTTGAATTGTGATGGTGATCATATTAATGGAAAAAAAATCTAAATGGAAAATGTCACTAAAATTGTGATAATGAACCTTGTGTTGTTTAAACTTTCTAGTCTTATGCTTGACAATTTGCTTTAAACTATGAACCTTGTGTTGTTTAAGGTGTGGGCTTCAAGTTTTGTATTGTCAAGAGATGAATTTAAATGTTTAAGTAGGGGCAATTATATCATAAAAGAGGAAAAAAAGGAATTAGGGCTTGTCATAATCAATTGACAATTTAAAAGTTGATGATGAGAAAGAAAAGATTATCATGCTTGACCATCAGATTGCGACTACCTTCTCCAACTTGACTAAAAAAGAGGGTTTAAAGTTCATATTTTAAAGTTCTATTCGATGAACAACATATAATTTGATGGTGAGATTGAGATTGCCTTCTCAAGTTGGATGACAAAGAAAAAGGTCAAAACTTCAAAAAGTAAAACATAATAAACAATACGTGATTCAATCTTAATAGTACTATGCCTTGTTTTTGTTTTTAAACAAGGCCATAAATTGTTCACTGAAAGGTATTCTGTTAAACGAAGGATTTTAAAACTACATTAGACACCGAACCGTTCCGGTGATCGGTTTCTGGGTTAAATGGTCCGATTGTCCGGTTCATATGAATGACCCATTCTGATTTGAAAAATATAAAAAAATAGAAAATTAAAAAATTAAAAAAAGTAAAAAGTAAAAAATGGCCAAAAACCATTGTCCAGGTCGACGGTTTAATGGTTCAACCGCCTAGGTCAACGGTTTGCTAACTGATGGAGGACGATTTGACCCAACCTATGAAACAGTGACACATGGACACTGACTCAGCACGAGCGACAGCTTAGCGTTGTAGCCTGGTGCGACCAAGTGATGGGCCCATAAAGCAGCTCGCTACGTTGTAGCTCACAAAAGGAGAAGCTCGCCACAACGCGAGCTCCGGGTTCCCCGAGCTACCTTCGAAGAGATACTCCGAAGCAACTTTACCTCGTGAGCTAAAGTTATTAGCTCGTCCGAGCTCCCAAGCAGACAAGTCGTCCCAGGGACCAATTCTACTAAGGATAATCCTGGAGTGTTCCAAGCTTGCTACAAAATAGCTCGTGAATGAGCCACATGAGCGCCCCTTAGGAAGCTTCTGGCTGACAGACTATATCGGTCAGACTGCGCCATATCCCTTACTGACGGCGCAGTCCCAATCCTTTCGGCAGTCTGCGTCCACGTCTCTCAGCAGGCAAAGGCATGCCTGCCACTTCGGAGAAGTGTCACTCACTCGAGCGAGACATACACCACAACGGCCACCTGCGCAGCCCTGGCAGGAGCCCAGTGGCGGTTATGCCTGACCTGACATGAGTGCCCCTATAAAAGCCCTCAGGATAGAAGAGAAACTTCTTCTTGAGACCTCTAATCTCTCGAGTATAGTGAAAACGCGCTATCTGCACTCTTTGCCTTCGTCTCCTTTTTGCTTCTCCTACGGAGTACTAACTTAAGCATCGGAGTATCCCCACCAGGTAAACTCCCTGGGGATTCTTCTTCTTCTTCATCTCAGGTA